TCCCTCATCATGGCCCAGAGCATACCTCTAGAGGCTCCTGAAGCGCCCCCTGACTCCCACAGCCTGTGCCAGTCCTCGGTCTCACTGGACCACTGCTACCTCTCTTTGAGTGAGGCCAGCAAGGTGCAGTCCAGCCCCAGCACTGAGGAGAGCGACTCGGAGTCCCTGTGGGGGCAGGAAGAGGTGAGGGCTGGCATCTGCGGAAGGCGGGTGGGTTTCTCTTGCCCTGGCACTTACCACTCTTCTCTGTCCAGGACTTGCAGGTTGACCCTGAGGGCTTGCAGTCCTCTAGTGACGAGGATGACGACTATACATGGACCCCCACCCGGAGGGCCTCAACCCTGCCCACAGGTGGGAGGAAGAGCAGGAAGGGCCGGACTAGCAAGGGCCCCTTGAAGCCCAAGGAGAGCAAGAAAGCCCCGTGTCCTACCCAGATGAAGAAAAAGTGTGTGAACGGCTTCATCATGTTCTGCAGGATGAACCGGAAGCAGTACATTAGGTGGGTGAGGGTCCCCGGCAGCCCCTGGTAGGTCCCTGATTTCACTCTGCCTCCAGGTTGTGTGGCTCCAACTTGTGAGAGTTACTTGCCCTTTCCTAGGACCCACCAGCCCCTCCACGGCCACAGTTCTTCCCTAGCCCTGTCGCACTGATCTGGTCCTTTCAACTGTGCGCAGTGAAACCAGCTCAAATTTGAGGGGAGAAAAGGAAATTAATTTGCTTGTATAACTTTAACAAAAAGGGGTAGTGTTGCCTGCCCTAAGATGTGGTTGGTTCCAGGGCTGAACGATGCTGTCCAACTCCGCTCTCCTGAGCTGGCTTCATTCTCCAGAATGCTGGGGACAGGGACACCTGGGAGCTCTGGCTCAAGTCCAGTCTGCCCCCAGCAGTCCCTGTGGGGAGGAAGCTGAGCTGGCCGCTTGCCAGAGTGAAGCCGGGGCCTGGGAGTGTCCTTAGCCACAGTGGACAGTGGGTTCCTGTACAGGAAGGTCTAGGTGCTGGCCTGTAGTCACCACCTCACCCTCCTGGACACTAGGTTCTCAGTTGGGAGCAGCTGTTTAATACCTTTCCCTTTGACCTCAGTTCCGGAGGGTGTATGATGGGGGCCGCGGGCTGCAGGGATGGGAGAGGGCACTGATGGGAAAGCTGAGGCTGGAAGAGGGCCAGAGACCCTGTGTGGTCGCACTGCTGGCCTCCACAGGCCTCTCCTGACCACCCCTCTTGTTCCAGAGCCTGCCCTGGGACTGCATCCACAGCGGCCACCAAGGAACTGGCCCAGCTGTGGCGGGTGATGACCCCGCAGGAGCGGAGACCATACTGGTAAGAAGCCCTGCCAGAGACCCTGTGAGGAGCCAGCAGCAGGTCCCAGCCTTCCTCTAGGGTTCAGAGCCTCGAGCCTGTGGTGCTGGAACAGGGCGGGAGCTCACTGAGCTGAGTCTTTCCTGAAAGACTTGGAAGTGACAGAGAGAGGTGTCACCTAGTAGCTCAGAAAGGCAGATGATTTCACTGGGTTTTGGACCTTGCTGCTAGAGGTTCTCCCCAGCTCTGCCACCGAGAGCTCTCAGAGCCTGGCTTTCAATTCCTGCTGCTTGGCCTCCTCCCTCCTGCCTCTGATCCCTGCCTCCCCGAAACCCGTCTTCTCCACCAACTCCGGATAGCTGTCACTGGCCACCTCTGAAGTGGTCCCTGGAACACTCCTCAACACGAAGTTTCTCACACCCCAAAGCCCCTTGGAGTGTGGGGTTCCAGCAAGGGACCCTTGGCCACATCCCATCTTAGCCTGGGACTTGGAACCCAGGGCTTGGCCTCCCACTTGTCCTCGGCCTTGGTCACTGCTGGGGCTGGAGGACCAGGGGTGGGACAACGATGGTGGGAGGTGAGAGAGGAACCTGCCCCGCTGCCACTTCTCCCCCCAGCATCAAGGCCCGCAGGTTCAGCCGCCAGCATAACCGCATTGTGAAGCAGGAGAACTCCAGCAGTGAGGACGAGGACTGGGAGACCCCCAAGCCTTTCTACCAGCTGCTGGCGGAGAAGGCACACAGCAACCCAGACCTGCCCCCCCTGCCGCCTCTTCACCCCCAGTGAGAGGGCTGTCCACCTGGGCGAGCTCCCTCACCTCAGCTTCTGCAGCACTCCTCAGAAACCAGGAGCCGGTGGTGAAGAGGCGTCTGTTCCCTTCTGGGCTTCAGCCCCTGCCACTGTGGGTCCCTGGGCCAGCTCCCGTGGGACTGGGGAAGAGGTGTATTTATTGACCCCTGAGACACTGAGACCCCTTTCCACCCCATGGTTATTAGAGGAGCCTTGGGGTGGAAAGAAACCCTAGATGAAATGCAGGCAGGTGACGCTGGGGAACAGGGACTCCGCTCTGCCCCTCCTGTCCCCAGAATCAAATGGTTTCAACCTGTTCATGCTCAATTCGCCCCTCCCTGCCCCGTTCTATTTATAGACTATTTATTGTTTTAAACGAAATAAAAGCAAGTGGAATCCTTGTTGCCAGCAAAGGAAACAGGGTAGGCCTTCTGGTGTCTCTCTGCTTCTTTGGCCCTGGGTGGTCCTCCCACCCAGCTCTGGAGGCCTGCCATGCCAGGGCCTACAGTTTGAAAGTCACGTCGCTGCCCACACCTTCCTCAGCCCATGAGCCTGGACTCAAGTCCCCTTCTTAAGAAGCATGGTCAGAGAGCCATGTTCTCAGGCAGGGCTGCTGCTGTTCAGTTGTCCTTTGGGCAAGTTGTTTGGAAGGTGACCCACAGCCCTGGTGGTTCTGTTAACTTTATTTTAATTGAAATGGAGGCATAACATATCCTAGAAAAATAAAGATTTAGGATATAAACTAGACACAAGGGTCAGGGTTGCCCCGGGGACAAGGGAATCTTTGGTCTGGGGCTAGAGGTGATGTGGCTTTAGTCCAGAGGAGTGAAGAGGGGACCCCACTCTGCCTACACCTGCAACCCTTCTTAGCAAGAAGGGAGAAGCATGGGGAAGGGTCCATCAGTCTCTGGGCCCAAAACTTTGTCCTCCACCCTCGGATTCCAAGCATTCTGAGAACACGGGGTATCAGTGGAGCTATTAATAGTGTGTTAGGGAGAAGAGGGAGCAGGAGATCTGGCCATTCCGCAGGGTCTTCAGCTTACAGCTAGTACCAGGTGGAGGAGAGCAGAGCCTGGATCAGGCCCCCAAATTCCCCATACATACGGCAGGACAGCAAGAAGAGGGCTGTAACAGAGGCCTCCCGTGCAGAGAGGGACAGAATCCTAGACAGGGAGTGGATAGCGTGTTCCCTGGCACCTCTAGGACTTGGGGGAGGCCGCCCAGGCTGGAGGGATGTAGTGTATGTTGGATCCCCAGACTGCCAACCCAGGCACTGTCCCTGCGACTTGAGCACCATTGTCAGAAGAAGTGATGAAGCTGAGCGGGTTACAGTTCCAAGGGCTCTTCCACAGGCACCGACTGTAGCTGGGTCAGGACCTTGGCCTCAGCTTCCAGCCCCTCATCAACTCCAGCCCCCGTCGTGGTCCCCAGTAGCAGCCCCTCAGGGTCAGGGTCTGGCAGCCTCAGCACGGTGTGAGGAACCTGTGTTCCCAGCCCTTTTTCTGCATCTAGCAGCCCCTCTGTTCCTGTGTTCAGCTCTAGCCCTGCCGGCCAAACTGGCACAGCTGCAGGTGACAGCATCAGACCCTCTGGCGGGGGTGCTTGGAAGCTGGGCAGGAGGCCAGAGTCCGGGGAGAAGGGTAGACTGGCTGCAGAGGTGGCCACAGTGGGTGGTGTTGGCTGCTGTGCAGAAAGTGTGCTCAGGCTGTGGGCCTCTGGGAGGGCGGGACTGGGGGCCACCGGGAGGGCTCCTTCAGGCACTGAGATGGCTGTCTCTGACTTCACGGGCAGGGCCAGGCCGGGGGCCGGTGGCAAGACCTGGGAGACCAGCATGCTGGTGGGGAAGGTGGCTGTGAGGATGATCTTGCCCTGCTGCACGGCCACACCTGTGACAATGGGGCTGCCAGACACAGGGTTGGCCAGGAGGAAGTTTCCTGTGGGGAGAGGAAATAGGTAAGAGTTGGAAGCAGCTGACCAAGAGCATGTAGAGATGAAGCTGCTGGAGGGCAGGCAAATGGCTCCCTCAGGATGTGTGGCAAAAACTTTGGGGCACACTGGCAGAGGGCACAGGGAAACACCAGGGATGAGATGCTTCCTCCTCCCAGAACCCAGTGACACCCCTACCCCAAGCTGCATCCAGGCGGTAGGGAGGCAGGAGGGAGTACCTGGGGCGGTGGCTGAAGGCAGCTGCAAGGCAGTCACGCCCACCCCGGAGTTGATCAGGTGTACATTGGCAGGGCCTGCTGCAGCTGCCACCTTCACAGGGCTGCCCGGTCCAGCTGCCAACAGCTGCAATGGCCCCACAGCCTGGGGCAGGGTCACCACCTGGGAGGTAGGCACCACCTGGGGCAAGTTCAATAGTGGGGAATTGGGTCCCAGGCCCGAGGGGTACCCGGGGGGTGGGGAGAGTGGCACCACCTGGGGGGCAGCCACAGTGGGCACCGGTCCTGGAGGCAGAGGGAAGGATGCAGCTGGTGGGGGGCCAGGTACCACTTGGGGCAGGGGCCCTGCCATGTCCTCTCCAGCTGACCCCGAAGTAGCCACCTGGGCTCCTTTGGTCTCAAGGGCCTCAGACTGCGCCTCCTCCAGCCGAATCTCCCCAGTCTGAGGGTCCATGACAAGGGAGGTCTTGGCCTCACTGGTCCCCTGGGGACTGGGCTGTGGTAGAGGGGCACCCCCTCCTCCTGTGAGCAGTAGGGGCCCCAGGCTGGAGGCCTCTCCCAGAGCCAGGCTGTTGATGATGACAGGACTGCCATTGAGGAGAACTGCTGGGGAGCTGCTGGCAGCCAGGAAGCTCCCATTTACCAGGATGGAGGGGGAGGCGGGACACGGAGTGGGAGGGGTGGCCCCTGCCAGGAAGATGGAGCTCTGGGTGGGGGCCTCGGCAGCCACTGGGGCCATCCCTCTCTCCAGGTCCTCAGGACTTCGGCTGGACTCATCCTCAGTAGTGGGGTTCCCATCAGACTCGCTGGAGGGAGAAAGGGTGGTTAGCTGTGATCCCTGAGGGCGGGATTCTCTCAGGAGCAGGAGCTGACCCCTGCTTCCCGACCTGCCCCAGCCCCAGCTTTTGTGGACTATTTCAGGGGTCATAGATCATCCCAAGGCCACCCAAGGACCCTGCGTTGGTAGCCACCACCGCGGGAAAGCTAACCCTGGAGCACTGAACAGCCTGCTTTCCGGGCGTTTGCCTCTGGGCAGGGCCGTGCACCGGGGCTTCCCCCAAGTCCCCTGGGTAGGCAGACGCGTGGCCTGGACAGTGAGGAGGCAGTTGCCTGCTCAGTTCCCAGCGTCCCTCCCAAGAGGCGTCAGAGGAGAGCGAGGCCGGGTGCGCGCGGGGTGGGAGGGGAAGGGCTTGGGTTACAGGGAAACCGGAGCCGGGGAAGGTTCACGTTTCACAACAAAGGCAGGGGCCGGACCACGCTGTTCAGGCTGGAGGGGGCGTGGGGGTGGGTAAGAGTAACGGTCAGGGAAGGGCCGGGCTGCGAAAGCGCCCAGAAAACCACCCCTACCCGGGGTAGGGTGGGCAAGGGCCCCTCCCCCACCCCCTTTAGAGGCCCTCATTTTGGCACTGTTTGCCCCACAGAGATCCCGAAACACAGGGGGATCTGATTTGGAACTTTGAGTGCAGCAGCGGGAAGAAGAGGTCTCCGGGGCCTCCGTTTGAGGTCCCCGGAGGAGAGGAACGAGGACGTGGGCCTGATCCATCCACGCTTAGTCCCTACGCATCTCGGAGGCCTAAGGATGTGAGCGGGAAGTTCCAAGAAGCCCGGCGCCAAGACTCCAGCAGTGGGCACGGGGAGTTGGAGGCTGGTGTCCTCGGGAAAGGGGGACTTGCGCCTCCCGGATCCCCTCACCTCTTGCAGGGCGCGCCGCCGCCGGTCCCGGTCCGGTCGCGCTGTCGCCGGTTTTTGAACCAGTTGCTGACCTGCGTGAGCGAGAGACCGGTGAGCGTGGCAAGGCGACGCTTCTCGTCCGGCGTTGGGTAGCGGTTGCCGCGGTAGCAGGCCTTGAGCGCGGCGCGGGAGCGCTCCTTGAAGCAGTAGACGGTCTCCTCGCCGTCCCAGATGGTCTTCGGCAGCGGGAACTTCTTGCGAAGCCGGTATTTGTCCACTGCGCCCAGCGCGCGGCCGCGGGCTCGCTCGGCCTCCTGGTAGCGCGCGCGCAGGTAAAGGTCCTGCAGGAAGGCGTGGTGGGCGGCAGGGAAGGGGCGGCTCTCCAGTAACCGGTAGAGTTCGGCGTACTCGCCCCGCTGGAAGGCCACCAAGGCCCGTGCGCGCAACACCGGGTCGCTGCCACGTAGGCGCTCGGCCGGGGGCAGTGCGCCTAGGAAGCGGCTCAAGCGACCAGCGTGGCCCGCCTGTAGCAGCGCCTCACAAACGCACGCCACCTGCTCCGGCGAGAAGCGGAGGCCCGTGGACGGTTCGGCGGCGGCCTCCGGGGGTGACCCAGGGACTCCCGGGGACCCCGAGTCCTCCGCTCCCGCAGCCGCTTCGCCCGCCCCGGCCCCGGCCGCCGCCGCCGCCTCACCCTCGGCTGCCTGCAAAGTCTGCAGGAGCTGGCGCGCTTCTTCCTCCTCCTCTTCGGTTGCCGCCGCCACCGCCTCCCCACCGGCCGCCGGCCCCGCGCTCGGCTCGGCAGGCAAGGTAGCCATGTTTTGCAACTTTGGGAAGTTCCTCCCTCCTTCTCCTCCCTCGGGTTTCCACCAGCCCCCTCCCCCGCCCGTCCCCTCTTTCTGCCCCCGCCTAGCGCTTCCCGATCTTCTCGCCACACCCCCCCTGCCCCCCGAATGCCAGACCCCAGATCTACACTTGGGTCTCTGTCTCTGTGTGTCCGTCCCCCTCTCCGTCTGTCCGTGATTCTCCCTTTGTTTTCCCTCCGCCTCTGGCCGCGCTTTTTGGTCCCCCCCCCCGCCCCCAGAGTGTGCCTCTGGCTCAGGGCCTCAATTTCCCCATCGGGACAACAGAGAAGGTAACGGTCCGTCCAGGAGAGCTAAGGGCGCGAAGCCACCTCCGTCCGGAGACTGAGCTTCTGCACGCCTCCGTCTCCAGGGTCCTCCGAAGGCCCCCCCATTCCCATCTCGGCGCGCGCTCCGCCCCTCGGAATTCCCGGCTCCGCAGGGGGGCGGGTCTGGCAAGGAGGAGGGGCGGGCGAAACAAGGAGAAAGTTTGCAGCAACTTTTCTTAAGCGTAGGTCCCGGGAGCGGATGCGCGTGGCCTGCGCAGGCGCAGTGGAAGAAGGACGGCGGCGCGCTAGCCTGCCCAGCCCCCTTCTTCTCAACCCTTGGGGTGGCACAGCTGAGCCACAGCTGGGGGGGCGGTGCCTCATTGTGGACCGCTCGCCATGTCCTATTGGCTGGATGCCGAGGTCCCGCCCCTCATGTTTTTTCTTCCCCTTCCCCGATTCGTCCTCTTTGCGTCCCGCTAGCTCCCCGCCAAGCTATTGGCCTGCCCTACTGGCCTCCTGATTGGCCCACCGGGCAACCTCCTCCGCAGAACGCGTACACAGCTACACCGCGGAGTCCAGAGCTTCAGGCTGACGAAAGGGTCTTTTATTTGCGAGGGTCGGGGGTGGGGGTCCTAGGTGGGGCCAAACAATAAATACCGAGGAATGTCGAGTCTCAGTGCATCCAAAACGTGGATTAGGGTGATGGGGTCCTGGAGGCTGTCAGCAAGTCGGAGGATAAAGGCAATAAATATCCAAACCACCAAGACGGGCGGAGCCAGCTGTGGCTCCTAGAGCAGCGCACGTAAGGGGGGAGGTGGGCTGGCAAAAGCAAAAGGTTCCCGAGGGAGCAGGCAGAGGTGACGCCGAACGTTCGCTGCGGTAGAACGTTCCGGGGAGAATAGGAGTTCATGCACAGGGAGGATTTGTGGTTTGCGAACAGATGGCAGGTGCGTGGAGGGTGAAAATCGGATGGCTGAGCTCCGGTCGGCTGCCTTTTCGGACCGCGATTTGCCCATCCAGGTCGAGGATGGCTGAGCTCCGGTCGGCTGCCTTCTCTGGACAGCGATCTGTCCATCCACGTCGGGGCCTCAACCCGCCCAGAAGAAAGCAGTGATCGGCAACTCCCCCCAGCAGCAGCCACAGCAGCCTCAGCAGCAACAACATTCCTGGCTGCAAGTCCCCCGCTAACCCCATTCGCCGGCCAAGGATCAGCTCCTCCCTTCCCGGCCGCCAGGGGGCGGGCCCGGATCACAGGATTGGAGCTGGGCGAAGACCCGCGCTCGGAGCGGTATGAACTGGGAGGCGGTGGGAGCAGCTTCTAGGCCGAGCCCGGGTCACCCAACCTTTTAACCGAGCCTGAGGTCTAGGGTTCAGGGGACGAAGGTGGCTCCCGGGCGATGACAGATTGGGACGAGATGGCCTGCGCTGGCCACCAACCCAATGCAGCCCAAGGAGGCGGCACGAGCCAGAGCAGCGGCGAACACGAGCAAGGAACACGCCTCCGATAGGCCAGGCCTAGGGACCTACGGGCGAGAGGGCGGGATCAGCACTCGGGACGGCCTGATTGGTTCCTGAAAGCCGACCCGCCTATGCCTATAAGGGTCCTCAATTCTCCAATCCCGCCCCACACCCCCTACAGCTGGCAGCAGTGGCTTCTCGGCTCGCCAGCCAGAAATCCTGTCGCAGCTCATCATTGGCCGCTTCCTAGCGGCCTGTATTGATTGGCTGCCTGTGCATCCTCCCTTCCCGCGGAGGCCAAGCCCCGAAGGGGTGCAGCTAAGCGGTGGTGGCATGGGGTGGGAGGAGTGAGGCCGGGGCAAGGCAGCGGCAGCGGCAGCGAGAGAGCGTGGGACGTACCCTGGCAGGGAGCAGCAGGTGGCGGCGGTGCATGGGGCCTGGCCCCACCAGCGGGGACTGGCCCAGAGCCACGGCCGGGGGGCCATCTAGCTGGAGAGAGAAGGGACAGGTGACCCGATCGGAGCCCAGCCTAGCCCTGCCTCCTTCGGCAGGGGGTGGGGGCGGGTGAGAGTGAGGAAAGTCGAGGTCGGGGGGAGGGATTTGATGAGAGGCCCGAACTGAGGGTGAGCCCTAAATCTGTACGGGAGGGGGGTTAGCAGGCCTGAGGCAGGGGAAAGAGAGGGGTCTTACATGGGAAGGTGGATCCGTGGCCCGGGGACTGGGGACCCCCGTGACAGCTGGAAGGAGAAGAGAGAGGCGTATGGCGCGTGAAGGGGCAGAGAAAGGAGGTGGCGCGGCGTGCCCCAGCCTGGGCCCCTTTCCTCCCCCAACTTGTCCCCCTCGCTGGCCCACCTCCTCCCTGGGCCCTCCCGGAAGGGGGCAGAGGAGGGACTCGCCTGCGGCTCCCTCTGTCTGCAGCAACTCCAGCCGCTCCTGCAGCTGCTGGATGTGCACCTCCAGGTCTCGGTTCCGGGCTTCGGCCTCCTGTAGCTGACTGAGATGAGGAAAGAAACGTGACCCACTGGGGTCTGGGCTGCAGAGTGCCAAGGGTGTCGGGGACCCTGTGCCCCGACCTGGCGAAGTTCTGGTTGGCCGTGCGGATGGCCTCCAGCTCGAGGCGCAGGTTCTGCCGGCTGAGCACCTCCTCCTCCAGGGCTTCCTGGAGCTCCCGCAGGGTCACCTCCGGCTCTGTCTCTGCCACGGGGGCAGCAGTTGGATCTGCCACTTCAGCCTGTGGGTGGGGACTGGGTTTGGGGCCGCCTGTAGCTCCTGGAGCACAGCTTATCCACTCCCCACCATCACCCTGTCTCTAGAATCCCCATAGCTTCAGCGAGCCCCCTCCTGTCCACACAGGAAGCAAAGAGCTGTTCTCAAAACTCAGCTTGACTGACCATGTCCTGTCCCTGATCCAATGTTTCCAGTCCCCAGTGCCCCAGGACAAGGTGGCTTTACCAAAAGGCCTTGCTGGGTTTGTTTCCTGCTGGTCTCTGCACCCGCCCCTCATGTACCCATGCAGCCATATGACTGACCCTCTTGTCACTTTTCAGAACAAATCAGCCTCAGATAAACCGGCAGGGTCCCCTTCAGGGCTTCTGCTCTTGATATTCTCTCTACTGACCATGGGACACTTTTCTCTCCATGGGTGGCCCTGCCTCTTTCACCAGTGCTCGGCTCAAAGCCCCCCACGCACACACAGTTAGTGCCCTGTTCTGATGTCCTCATAGGGACCATCTCTTGACTGAAGTGACCTTATCTCTGCTGCTTTGTCTGTTTCTGTCCTCTAAATTCCCAGAAGCACAAGGCACCTGGCAAGTGCCAGCGGGTCCCTCCTGCTGCAACTGACCAGCCTCTCCTCAGCTACTCACCATGTCCTCTGGGGGGGACACCCTGGGCTCCACGCTGGGCTCTTGCACACGTGGCTCAGGCAATTGCTGGGCCTCCAGTTCCATTGGTGTGGGGTCTGGGACCTCACTGTCCCTGCAAAGAGGAAGAGGGGAGGAAGACTCCTTCCTACCCAAGAGGCTGCCAAGCTCTGGGAACCCATGTCCGAGGGCATGGAGCAGCTGGCCCATGGTTCAACCAGGGGTGGGGGGGAGTGAAGGGGGGACCAACTGTCAGGTGAGTTGACAGGCCCTTCTCTGTCTCGCATGTGGCCTCAGGCCCCTGGGAGCTGCCCTTTCTTATCTATGGAAACGGGGCCCAGACACCATGTTCCAGGGTCTGCACATTCCCTCCCTTAACCCCATCACCTTTGCATACCTCTCTCCTTAGGACCTCAGAACAGGGAAGGGGTCCTAATGAGTAAGACCCTGCCAAGTTCTGGGCACCTCCAAAGATGTGGTCATAAGACTGGATGTGGGATTCCTCAGACTGTGACTGAAGCTATTAGGACACCCCCTCATGCTCAGCTGCTGGGAGGGGGTGTAGGGCAGAGATCTCCTAAGAATGTGAACTTTCAATAAAAGTGGCATCCTTTGACCAGCAGTCTCTCCCATGGGAATATGCCTCAAGGACCTATGTACCCTGGACAAGCTCTGAGACCAACCTGTTGGCTGTTTGTAGCAGCCTGGGTTGTAACAGGTCGTGTTAAAGCTGACCTGACCTGACCTGACCTGCAGTGAGGAGGAGACTAGACATGCTCATGACTGATAAGGGATGCAGATTAGGAAGCAACCTGTTCTCACGGTGGTTAAACATGTTTGCCAGCTTCGAGCCAGGGATGTCGCTGAATGATGGGCTCAAACGCAAGCTTCCTTTTCCTTAATCTTATTTCTTAATTTACTTGTGATAAGCAGTCTCATTTATATAATTGATGCTTTTTAAAGGCTTTATTGTTACATGACTATATTCTGTTAAAATTGATTGTAAAATTCCAAGCTTATTTTACCCCTGACTCTGAGTACTAGAAATGTAAAAGTCTAGGGTTGCAGAATTCTGGAAGACCAAGCCTACCGGCTTTAAGGTTTTGCAATTGAATCTAAAATGGTAAAGTACTTTAGGGTTCCTAAGAGTGCTTTGTCCTAAAATGATCCTGCAAAAAGAATATTGATCCCACAAACCGACGGGTCACCAATAAGCCTGGACACAGTGGTCCTGAGCCTCCTCCTGGGGCCTCTGCAGGCCGGCACCCTCATACACCTCACATGCTGCACAGGTGCACTTACCTGAGGGCCATACAGGAGTAGGAGTAGCCCACAAAAGGCAGGTGGACCCCCAGCGGCATACCTTCCGGAATGTCCGACAGTGTTTCCTACGCAAGGGACACACAGATGTGACTAGCAGTTACCAGGGCTGGTCCCTGACAACTGCTGGTCATCATGGCCCAACAGTTGTCTTTGTTGTCATGGCTTAGGTGTGCTCCAACTCCAGGATCATTTAAAATGACCTCCCCATCATTTTTTTCTAGTCGCCTGTTGCTTCCCCTTCAAGGCCCTCACCACACTCTAATCACAGCCTTCTCTGGGGTGTAAGTGGATGAGGGCAGGGGCCAGAGCTGACTTGGTCAGTGCTATGTCTCCAGAACTGCCCAATAGAAGGGCCCCCAGGCCTGAGTGAAGGATTCTGGGGCAGTTTGTTAAACTGACACCAGGCCCAGCTACTCAGGAAGCTGAGGCAGGAGAATCTCAAGTTCCAGGCCAGCGTGGGTAACTTAGCAAGACCCTATCTCAAAATAAAAAATGAAAAGGGCAGCTGGGCACTGTGGTACATGAGGCTGAGGCAGGAGGACCTCGAGTTCAAACCCAGCCTCATCAACTTAGCAAGGCCCTAAGCAACTCAGCCAGACCCTGTCTGTAATAAAAGGGCTGGGGATGTGGCAGTGGTTAAGCACTCCTGGTTCAATCCCTGGTACCAAAAAAAGAGAGAGAGAAAAGGCAAGATGGACAAAGGAAGGAAGGAAGCTTCCTCTCTTGCCTCTCTCCTCTCATTCCTCCAGGAATCAGTTCGGATAGCCCCTTCCTCCAGGAAACCCTCCAGCACCTTCCCTCTGGGTCAAGGGCCCAGCCCTCTGAACTCCATCTCAGCCCTGATAATTCTGGGGACTGGACTGTCTTCCCCATTTGGACTAGGTCCCGAGCACTGGGTGGGCACAGCAGGTACTCTAGGGAATGAACGACTCGGAACCCCAGAGGTAGGCACTGTAATTACCCCAATTTTATGGAAGGGGGATGGGGAGCTTCCCTCAGCGGAACAGGGGCCGCAGATACCTACCCCGCCCCCGCTCACCATGGCAGTGAGCCCATCCTCCACCACGTCAAAGTTGCAAGTATCCGTGGCACCCTCGAAGTCCGGAATAAAGGGGGGCAGGCTATCTCGAAGTCCCTCCCAGTCAAGGCCAAAGAAGAAAGGATGCTTCCGGAAATCGTCTGCTCCACCACGTCCTAGCCTTATCTCCGCGGGACACAGCAGACCTTGGATGAGGTCTCGAGCCTCTTCCGGGACCCCAGTGTCTGCCAGTGGCAGAGACAAGTGCTCCTGCTCGGAGGAAGAGTGAAAGAAGAGATGGTGGCCTGGGAGCAGTTGTGGAGCGGCAACGGGTCGCTGTGGCTGAGCTCACCTTGTAGTGGACAATCTTGCCGTAAGTCTCAGCCGTGGAGTCCGCATAGAAGGGCGTCTGCCCGTAAAACATTTCATAGGCGAACACACCCAGCGCCCACCAGTCACACTCAGGCCCATAGCTGCCGGTCCCAGGGCCGCCGCCCACAGCCTGCAGGATCTCTGGAGACAAGTAGTCGGGGGTACCCACAGCCACAAGGGACCGCACCTGTGCCAACAGGACCAGAGCAGTCCTCCTGACCACCTCCTAACCGAATGTGTGCTCCCTCCCCTCCCACCTCCTTGACGTGTCCATCCCTGCGCTAGAGGACACACTTGGTCCAGGGTAGCTTCCTTCCTTCTCGAGCCTCTAAATTTAGTCCTGCCCCCACATCGCACCTCCACGTCCCCTCATTGGTAGGCGGAGTTGCTCACCGTTCCATCAGCCCGCAGTTTGAGGCAGGAGCCAAAGTCCGCCAGGCGAATGTGGCCGCAGCGGTCCAGCAAGATGTTGTCCGGTTTGATGTCCCTATGCAGAGGGAAGAGGGAAGAATGTTGAGTCTTTACCTTGCCAGGCTCTGCCCCTTTGGGCAGTTCTGCCTAGTGCCGTACCTAGGGTTCCACCCCTGTGAGGGTTCTGCCGTTCTGGACCTCACTCCCCAGGCCCCGCCCCCAGTGAGCCCCAACAGAGGTGAAGCGGTCCTTCTGTAGACCCGTCAGCTCTAGGTTCCATCTTCCAGGACCCTTCCCATACAAGCCCTGCTGTCCCTCTCAGGGCCCCGCCCAGGCCCTGCCCCTCAGCCCCTGCCACGCCCACCTGTGCACATAGCCCAGCTGGTGCACTGAGTCTATGGCCATGACAATCTCGGCCAGGTAGAAGCGCGCCATCTCGGCCGGGATCCGCTCCCCAAACTTGCTCAGCAGCGTTAGCAGGTCCCCGCCCACGTAGTACTCCATGACCAGGTACTGAGAGGGGGCGCGTCATGGGAATCAGTAGCCCTCCCTAGGCACCAATCTCTGATCCCCAGAGGCAAGGACTCCCAGAGCCACCCGTTCCTGAGTAGAGTCCTCGCAGCCCCATACCAGAGAAACCCTAAAGATCTTCAAGGCCAAATCAGAGACCCTCCCAGGATGTCCCAGGACAGATCCACTCCCCCTCCCAGAGACACTAAGGGAAAAAAGACCTCCCAAGGCTCAGAAGATAGATCCCAGATACCCAGCGCAGGCGTTGCGCCGAAATGCTACAGAGCGCTCTCACCCCAGGGAAGTTCCCTCCAACAGGCTTTTCACACAAACACCCGGAATCGCCAGGAAAGGGGCACTGAGGACATCACCTCCCACCCCCTCCTCTACCTGAGACGCGTTCCTACCGAGACACACTCTCACAGGCGTGCAGGGGCAGCGGCCCCAGGCCGGCCACTTCCTCTCCCCACCGGAACTCACCAGGTAGTTCTCATCCTGGAAGGCGAAGTGCAGCTGCGTGATCCAGCGCCGGTCCCCATTTGCCAACACATCCCTCTCTTCTCGGAAGCACGACACCTGTGTGACACCCGGAGGAGCTAAGGGCCAGGAGAGCAGATCCCGTACCCTCCCCCCCACACCCCAGCCCGGGCCCCCACCTCTCCTCTCTTCAGCATGTCCCACTTATTCATAATCTTCATGGCATACACCTGGCCCGTCTGCTTCATCTTCACCACCGCTACCTGCAGGCGGAAACACAGGGACTGACAGTAGCCCAGATGACTGGGAAAACCAAAGGGCCTGGACCAGACTCCACCACCATCTTCACCCAGCTGCGGCCTCACCCTGCAGTGGCCACGCCACGCCCCTGGGCCTCAAGCCCCGCCTCCAGCCCAGGCTCAGTCTTAGGTTCTAACATTCAGTCCATTCATCAATTTCTCAGGCCCTGCTCCAGCTCCTGTGCCACACCCACAGCAAATAAAGTGCTGGCCCACAGGGCCACTCAGGACTCACCTCGCTGAATGCCCCGCGTCCAATCACCTTCAGAATCTCAAAGTCATCCCTCTGCAGTCGAACCTCCTTAAGCCTCGCTGCAATGGGCTCCGCTGCAGTAAAGGAAGAACAGAGGGTCACTTGGATGGACAAGGGTCTGTCCTTCAGTCTCCCCTTCTCCCTGCCCCTCAGCTCCACTGTAGCTCTCCCACATAAACACCATGTGATGTTCTGGGACCCTCCCGTGGAGGAGAGATGCCTGGGGACCTGTTTTTGGCACAGGGCTTGGGCCAGAGGATGCAAGGTGGGAAGAGCTGGGCAGCACATGCCCTGGAGCGGAAGCCTTGAAGAGCAGGTGCAGAGACTGCCCATTTCCAGACCCCGAGCCTCAGGCCCTGCACCCTCACTCTGGATGATGATTAAGGTGCTGTCTCCGGTCCCCGTCCCCAATCCCAAACTTTTCATTTTGTATGTTTTTGGCTATGACCCAGAGCTGCGGCTGTGTCCAGCAGTCTAGATGAGGTGCTGTGCTTCTCGAAGCACATTTTGAGAAACAGAATTTGGAGCTAGGAGGCCTGAGAGAGGGGACACCAGTGCCAAGGCACAGCTGGGGCACTGTTGGAAGGGCGTCCAGCAGTCCTCCCGGAAGGCAGCAGGAGGGCTCCAGCTAGAAAGGCTCAGCAGCAAGGGGTACTGGCCAGGAGTGGAGGCCGAGGTTCAGGGACAGTGGGAGGTTCAGAGGGAGGCCTGGCCTCCCACAGGGTGGAAGAAGCCAGAACCTGGCAGGCAGGGTGGAAAAGGGATGGGTATGGGCATTGAAGAGGGGAAATTGAGTAGGTGGTGGAGGTGAGAGAGGGGGTTCAGGGAAAGTGGGCCCACAGGGAAGAACAGGCCAAGGGGAGGACAAGGGAGGGAGGAGAGCGCCAAGACATTGAGCCCTTTTAAGGCAGCAGGAACCCAGGCCCCCTCCCCCACCCTGGAAGCCTGGCAGGGGAGGGGCTGCAGGATGCAGCTCAGGCCACAAAAGGACTTGCTTCTTCCAGGAGAGCCAGACCCCTGCCCCCATCCCAGATCTCAGTTTACCCTGCCAGCCAGCTTTACAGTCGGTAAAAGGGAGACCAAGAGAGTCACAGAGGAAAGGGGTGGGGAGGGGAGGGTCTTCTAGAGACTGAGTGGCCTAGCCTTTGGCCTCCACCTTCCCATCTGTGAAATGGGAGAGGAGGAGAGGAGCAGGCCCTGAATCATAAAGAGAAGGATAGGGGACCAAAGGGAGTTGGGAAAGGTTCAGACAATGACCAAGAAGGGCACACAGGCCAAGGGCCAACAGCAAGACACTGGGGAACAGGCATGTGGAATGACAAAGCGACAAGGTATTGAGGTGACAACAACTAAAGAGAGCTTGAAACTATGCTGGGTGTTGCATGGGGGCAGGAAATTGGCCTTGGGGCATTTTTCCCCCAGACTTGTCCCCAGGTCCTGGGAAGACCTTTTAAGAAGGGTCTTTGTAAGACAGCTAGAGGGTTAGAGGCCCTGAAATAGGACCACCAAAGGAGGCAGGAGCTGGCAGGGAGCACGAGTTGGCCCACCCAGGCTAGCAGGGACCAATATATGGGGGATAGGGTGGCATCACAGAACCCAGGGAGAAAGGGAACAACCCCAAGTTGTTCCTCCTCAACCAGGAAGACGGGGATCTTGTGGCGCCTGTCTGCAGAGCTGGCTCTTCCTCAGGGCCTGTGAGTCACTGCACCCTCTCGGGTGCCTGGGCACCTGTTGGGGCAACTGGAAAGGCTGGCGCCGAGCACCTGCCTGTCAGCTACACCCCTGGCAGCTGCCCATGCTATCCCTCTTGGCTAACCCCTGCACTTTGGGAACCAGGGTAGAGGGCCATAGAGGCCATTTGGGGGAGAGGGTCCTAGGAGATGGCTGCAAACATGTCCTAGCTCTGGACTGGGGCAGAAGGAGCAGGAAGAAAACAGGAGGCCAGGCCCAGCCTAGCCTGCCATGGTTCCCCAGCCATGGCTCTGAGTCACGGCTGCCCTGGCCTCTGCTGGCCTTACTCTGCCCTGCCAGGGTGGCACAGCGGGTAGGGGCATGTTGCCCCAAAACCCAGGTCCAAGCTCTGGGCCTCCATGCAAGATCTCTCCATGTTTGTCCCGTTCCTTAAGAGCCAGGCCCCTGTCCCCGCCCCACCCACGGGGACCACACAGGCAGCACTCACCCCACTGCAAGAAGTCGGCCACATACTTGTCCTGGGCCAAATCGGAGGCACCCAGCTCCTGGTGGACGCCCAGGAGAAGGTCGAGCAGGGGCTCCAGCCCCAGGAAGCCGGGGTCCAGCGCCAGCTGCTGGAGCCGCCTCAGCCGCACCTCGGCTGACATGTTGGGCAGACAGCACCATGGCCCTTCCCCGGGCCGGGGCACGGGGTCCTCCTGTCACGGGGCCTGGCAGACCCTGTCCAGGCCCCGGAGTCCTGGCTGCATGTCTGCCTGCCCTGACTGTCCCCTGGGCCTCTGGCCACTTCTCTGCAGCTGAGGCCTCCTACTTTTCTCCCCACCCCTTTGTCCAGCCCTCCTCCCGCCTCCCAGCTTTAACCCCTCAAGAGCCAACACCCCAACTCTCCTTCCAGCACCCCTCAGAACACTGCGGTGCCAGACTGCAGGAACTGAGAATCTTAACTTGCACCCCCAATAAAAAGGTGGAGCCTGGGGAAAGTCAGTGTGAACGAGGTCCAGAGGAGCCCTCCCACTGCCCAGAGGGGCCAATAGAGGCTCCGTGACCCAGGACCTACCCCCCTGGCTCCTGCCAAGCCCCAGCACTGCGGGGTGGGGGGGAGGCGAAAGGGGTTGAGGCCTGGGAAGGGGGGCTGGAGGCCAGAGCAGCCTTTCTTGTGACTCAGCAGTGGAATCCAACTTTGGGACAGTTAAATTTAGCCCTGGGCCCTCTGCTTCACACTTTCTCTTTGGTGGGAGGTGGGGAAGGGGTGGTAAGGAGAGAACCGGGAGGGGATGCTCTCAGAAGCCAGGGCCAGGGGTGACCTGCTGTCCAAAGGCTGGGGGAGGAAAGTGATGTGGCCAGGCCCTCCCCAGGCAAAGGAGACCCCAAAATAGCTCCTTGGCCCCTGGCCTGGTGGCCACATTCCTGCCCAGGCTGGGATTAGAAACAGAAACATGTCGGGGGTGGAGCGGGAAGGCGCCACTCCCTGAGGCTCTGAAAGGTGGCCAGGAGGAATCAGTCTGTCTTTTCAGGGTGGACAGTTCTCTCCAGAGGAAATCACGGCCTCCAGTGGCACTGGATACCGGGCCAAGGCAGGGCCAAGCCCAAGGCATCAGGCAGTAAAGACCTGTCCCAAGGTAGCTCAGGGTATTCACAGGGAACCTTGGGAGCTGCCTGGGGACTGGGCTTCCGGGCATGCCCTGGAGTGGCTGTGATACTTTAAAACAACTTTCAAAATGCCCACTGACAAAGAGGGGCCCCTGCTGTCCCCTTCAAGACACTGAGTAATCAGATACTCTTCTCCCACAGGCCCCCCACAAGGTGCCACCTCCATGTGCAGTGGACCCTGTCTTCCCGTCCCTCCCCAGGCTGAGGGAGGCAGGCCTGGCAGCTGCTTCCTTTTGTAGCTGCCAAACACACGCACACACTTGCACACACTTCCTCTCACTCGCAGAGGGGACCCAGCTCTGTGCAAACAGGGAACTTTAGTATAAATAAGAGGTCATGGGGGACAAGGAGGGCCCTGGGGGCTTTCATAATTTAACACTCTTCAAAAGCACAGACAATAGCAAGGGGTGGGGTGGGCTGGGGTGAGGGCCCTCAGCCCAGGGGCGCTGCAGAGCTGGAGCTCCTTGTGGTGGGGAGGTTCTCCCCAGGAATGACCAGTCACATGCTGGGGACAGGGGTGTGGGTTAACACTGATGTTTCAATGGAAGGGGTCATTGTACTTGGCAGTGGGTGGGGACAAGGTTGAGGCCCCATGGGCTGCTACATCCCCCGTATGTGGGCCAGTCTGGAGGACCCCCAATATTTGTGCAGGGCGGGGGGCTGGAACAGTCCTTTCATCATGGTTAGTCTTGTTAATACGTTGATCCGTGAGGTCAGCAGGGAGGGTTATGGCTAGGAGGTTGGGGGCATGGGGTGGGGGACCCCCGACATCCACGGCTTCACACCACTGTGCCACTTGGGGAGTTGCCTGGTTGGGAGGAGATGCCCTGGGGAAGATGAGAGGGAGATGGGAGAGGTTAGAAACCACCTGGGACTTCTGTTTATGCCCACACAAGGAGCCAGCCAGGAGTCCTCAAGGCTGCTGCCACCCTGGCCCTGCCCCTCAGTCCACCCCAGACCTGAGGCTGCCACCCTAGGCTGGGGCACACACAGCTCAGCTAACTTCCCTGTCGCAGCAGTCGGCACTCCGATAAAATAATTCAAGTCCTCGGTAATCCTGGGCAGATGATGGGACAGGGGCTGAATGGAGGGGGGTACTTCTGACATGAACCCCTGAGATGCTGGAGGAGGAAGAACTCAGGGACAGTCCTACCTCTACCACTGACTTGCTGGGTGACCTGGGCCAACTTCCTTCCCCTGCCTGGGCCTCGGTCTCCTCGTCTGTGAACTAGGGAGACAGAGGGGTCTCTTTCAGGACTCAGTCCGACTCCCCAAGCTCCCCCACCCCTGCCTCTGAGACTGCTGTTGGGTTCCAGGGATGCAGAACTCTAAGCTTCTGAAACCAAGGCCCCAAAGATCCGAGTGGCAACCCTCAGATCTGGGATCCTAGGTACTATGCCCAAACCCTAGGGAGACAAGACACCAAGACCAGCTCCACACTCACAAGGTGCCTGAACCCCACAGCCACCCTAGAGGTGGGGGCACTCACCACAGGCCATCTGAAAAGCACTCTGCCCTAAGAGGTAATGCGTACTCAAAGAAGGGTACTGACTTGCCTAGGATCACACAGGGAGCAGAACTGCAGGCCTGGGCCCTGGGTCTGACTGCCAGCCCAGAGTCTGCAGTGGGCTCAGATGCTAAGAGCCCAGACCAGGCCAGAGCCAGGCCCCCCGCTCAACTTGCCCCTGGAATATTGGCCCAAAGTACTTTACAAAGCTCAACATTTAAAATCCAGATTTTCCATAGAAATAGCTTCTAGTTCAAGTGACAAGCACTAAGACTGGGCCATGCTGGGACCACTGCCTGTTCTTTCAGCAGGCGGCCATGGCCTTGCCACCTCCCCTCTCATTCTTGGCCTTCTCTACTGACTGAAGGCCAGGGCTCTAGAAGCCATCCCTAAGCCTCAGAGGTCCTGTTCTGCGACACTTAAGATCTCCACGCTTGCCCTTATCCCACGTGGCCAGAGGCTGTGCCAATGACAAACCCTCTGCCCACACCCGCCTCTTCCCAAAGAGCATCCTCCTGCGGGCTGGCGACTCACCGCCTTGCCGGGCCGGGCCCAGGTGCAGATGAGGCCCTCCTGGCAGGCGGTGATGATGCAGTCCTCCAGGAACAGCAGCACGGTCAGCCGCTCCTGGGCGATCTTCTTACACACAAGGGGCTCCAGCAGTGGCACCTCATGGATGCGTGGGCACAGCGCGGTACCCAGCACTTTGGCAGGGTCCAGGCGACTGCGGGGGGCGGGGCCGCTGGGCTTGTCGCCACCGCCACTGCCTCCCCCGCCGCCCCTGCTGATGTTGCCCAGGCTGTGGTAGCGCTTGTGTTCCTTCTCGGACCCCCGGTCCCGTCGCTCCTGCAGCGTGAGGGTGGCAAAGCGGCCGATGCTGAATGGAGTGCCCGGCTCTGCCACTGTGCCTGGGCTGCTGGCCTTGCCACCACCTGCCGGGTGTGGGAGGCTGTTGGAGCGAGACAGGGAGCGGGGCAGGGGGCCTGGGCCTGACTCACTACCCCGAGAGCTGCCCGTGGCGGGTGGCGTGGCTCCGGGTGTGCCAGGGAGCGTGCGAGTACGGGCCAGGGGCGGGTGCGGGGAGAGCACATCTTCGGTGAGGTCCCACAGGCAGAACTGTGTGTCCTGGCCCGCCGAACCAAAGCGGTAGGTGATGGAGCCAGCCTTGGGCAGCGGGGACAGTGGGACTCCCCCACTCGAGCTGGTGCGGGTGGCCTCGGGCTCCTCTTCCTCTTCACCACTCCGATCCCCTTCAGCACTCGCTGCTGTGGTCTCCTCTGCTCGTGTAGTGTAGGGGTCAAAGGCCACAGCATTGACCCAGGACTTGTGGCCATGGCCCCGAGCCACCACCCGTCCCTCAGTGAAGGACCACACGGTGACCAGGTCATCTTCACCTCCTGTCACCACGTACCGGCCATCAGGGCTCCAGCACACACACAGCAGGCCCCCAAAGTAGCTCTTCATGAGCCCCCGCAGGAGCATGGAGTCGAAGTGGAAGACACGCAGGCAGCCATCCTGGCTGACGCAGGCCAGGTGTCGGCCATCAGGTGAGAAGGCAAACTCGTTGAGGGGCCCCTCGCCGACTGCCCACTTGGCCAGCGGGTTGCGGGGCGCCTTGCTCTTGGCAGCATAGACAGCAAAACCCTCGCCCTGCTTCAGCAGGCTGTACTGGGGAGGGGCCGAGGCGCAAGGATGGCTGACGTTGTACAGGTAGAGGTGGCCACTGGCGTGAGACGCCAGGAACAGGCTTTCCGATTCAGGGAGCCACTTCAGGTATGTCACCTTAGTCTTGTCGATCAGACGCTGCAAGGGGAGACAGACTGGGATTGGGAGAAGGCTAAGAACCCCTGGCCTACCTGTCCGCAACCCAGACCCCCAAGGCCTTGGGACATGCGCCAGCTCACGCAGCAGGCCCTGCCGGCACAGCAACTCCCAGGCTGAGGCAGACAGACACCAGATCATAGGAAGGCCAGGGAACAAAGTCTACCTTGGAGGTGGCCCCAGGGAGTTCTAAGGGGCCTCAACCTCCCATCTTTGGCAAGGGGACAGTCCTGCCCATCAGAGAACTGTACTCTGCCTAAAGCTCTCCCTCCTCTTCACCATGTCAAGCTTAAAGCAAGAAATTTCACAGAAATGAAGGGATCCTGGTCTGTCTGGTTCCGGGCTCTGGGCCTGGAGTGTGAGCAGCTCACACAGGGGGTGCCTTGAACACACTCCCTGGACCAGTGAATGACAGCCCCTCCTGCCAGCTGCTCAGAACTCTCCAGGCACCTTTGCTCCTCTTTTCTCCTTCCTCGTAGCTCACATCCAATCCTCCAACATATCCTATGGGCTTACCCCTCAAAGGACCCTTAGAACTGACCCCGCCCTCCCACCCTACTCCAGCCACCCTGGCTCCAGCTGCTGCCAACCCCACAGTGCCCATCCTGGCCTGCAGCGCCTGGCTCTTCTCTACGTCACCAGAGATACTTTTAAATACAAGCCAGCACTTGGCCCTGCCCTGCCTGGAACAAACATTTTGCAACCTTCCCCAACTGGGGTTCCAGAGAAGACCAAGCCCTAAAGCCCTGAGGTAGCCACTGTGTGTGATGGACAAACCTCTCCCAGGGGTCCAAGCTGCCTCCATCCTAGTGGGGCTGAGAAAACCCTTTCTGTTCTATGGTTCGGACTGACCAAGCTGTGAAAGGACAGGCTTCCGCCTAACACGGAAAATGCAGTCCCCCCTGACCTTCCAGCTCTGCATAAAGTTATTTCATCTACCTTCCTTTCTCCCCCATCACTATTCCAGCCACAGGGCCTTTGGCTGTCCTGCCTCAGGGAATCTGTCCTTCCCTGGGAATTTTTCTCGCCTCCTTCAGGTCTTCATTTCAATGTCACCTCCTCAATACCCTCTTTAAACTCACCAGCACCCCTCCTGCCCTCCCTGCAGTGCATTCTCCACGGGTCTTACCACCTGCCGACACACTGGACGCTGAGCTCATCTCAAGTGCCTGCTTCCCCAGCCTGACTGAAGGCTCAGCGGGAGCAGGCCCGTCTGTCTGTCTGTTCACTGAGATGTACTTGGAACGATGCCTGGCACAGGATAGATGCTCAATAACTATTTTGTGAATGGATGAGCTAATGAATTTTTAATCCATTCACTCTTTCATTCACTTCCTTCAGCCATTCATTCTGAGAATATTTCTGGAACACCTTCTCTAAGAATGAGATACAGGACAAGAGCAGTCCCTGCTTGCAGATAAGGTCACTTGCTGGCATTTCCTCTTTAGCCAAGTTGGCCCAGGCGCCAATCTCCATGTATAATTTTACAATAGTCTTCTCTGGACGAGAAACAATTTTACAGAAGAGGAAAACTGAGACTCGAACAGCCACCTTCCCAAAATCACAGTGAGTAAAGGAATTCGAATCCAAAACCCACAGAGCTTAGAATTTGCAAAGCAAGACATCAAAAAAGTCCCAAACAGTGGCTGGCCTCAATCCTCTAATCTGCAAAATGGGAACCATACTTTCTTACTCTGTCTGTTGATGAAAACTCTAGAAATAAAGTGTTCAGTACAGGGCTAACATGGCACATGGCCTTGGCAATTCATTCTTTACCTCCTCACCACCCGCCCCTCAGGCCTACACTGCTCTCAGGAAGCTGCAGCCTATGGCAAATAGCATGTGAGTGGATGGGGAAAAAAAAGGTTATCTGGGGTCTGCAATCACCTCCTCATTGAATAGCTTGCTGGTGTCCTTCTTGATGAGATCCAGGTACTGCACCTGGCCAGCCGAGAAGCCCACCAGCAGGGAGATGGTCTCTGTGGCAGCAGTGAACTGGTTGAAGTCGTGGCAGGTGGGCTGGGTGCCCTTATAGATCCGCTTGTCAATAGGCTTGTTGAGGTCAATGGACTTGAGCAGTGGGAGAAAAGCAGTTATTGGTTTATACCACTGAGAGGAAGGAAGAGAGGCTGAGGTTGGGGGAAACCGCTAAGAGGAAGCAAGGTTAAATCCCTGAGGGAAGTGGGCAGGTGGGTGGGGAGAGAGTGAGCAACCACAGACAGGAAGGAGACCCAAATATCAGAGGGGGGCGGAAGCAGGGGAGGGGATAGGGAGGAGGAAGGGGGGTTGGAATGGACCTAGAAGCATACTTCCAAAGATCACAGTGCCATTCCAAAGTTGGACCCTCCCACCCTGAATTTAGGGGCATCCTCACTCATAGCCATGAGGCTTTATAGTGCCTATGGTTGCTGAGTTCAGCTCTCTTCCATGACCTCAGCAACTCCCTTGGGACATAGCACAATATTCCAAGACCCCAAAATCTAAGGGTCACTCAAGTCCCAAGGACTTTAAAGCCCAACATCCCAGGATTCCCTTCAATTTGCACAATTCAGGGGCCCATCAACCTCATGTTCCCTCACATTTTAGATACATTCATTTACTTCTGGGCTTTCAAGATCTCCATCTCTCCAGGGGTTTTGCCCTCTGGGAGCTACATCACTTTAGAGATGCCCATGACCCTTAGGATCCCATATCAGGACCTCCCATCACCTCAGATCTCCATCAGCTTAGATTCTCAATTCCTTCAGGCCCCAATTTTTCTAGGATCTCAGTCACCTATTACCTCTAAGACCTCTAATACTTTCAGAATCTTCCTCACTCCTGTGCTGCCCATGTCTTAAGAACCCCTCCAACACCTCCAGACTGCCAAGACTTATGAGTTGCCCATTTGATCCGAGCCTGATCACCTCAGGAGTCGCCATCACCTGCAGAATGCCTGCTACCTTGGAACCCGGCGGGGGAGACCTCATATATCATTTCAGATTGCGCCCCCGGCGTCCAGAACACGCCACGCTGGAGAATTCCCCCATCACTTTTCAGTCCTCCATTACCTCCAAGAATCCTGTCTCCTGTGATGTCAATTGCATCTAGGATGCCTTTCTCGGGGCCCCACGTCAATCTGGGGACTCTCCTATCACTTTCCTGAGACCTCCGTCTTCCTAGCATACAGGCCCCCACGATGCTGGCCACTCACCCGTTGGCTCCCGCGGCGACAGCACCCGGGGTAGAAATAAAGCTCACGGCCCAAGTTGAAGCAGACGCGGTCTCCTCCTGCTCCCAGTCCCGCGGGCGTGGCGGGCGGCTCCCCGGGCCCGGCGCCGTCGGGTTCCCCGAGGCGCACGAGGCT